CATAACTTGCATAATTATACAATTAGATAAATGATGAAATAATTAAATAATACCTTGGAACCATCAGGCGTTACATTTGGGCAGCTTCGTTTCCAATGCCATTTGTCATTGTAGTAAAAGCAAGTGACCTCTTTTGGATCAAAATTGTGAGGAATGTCAGAACTAGACTTTCCTTTGGGTCCATTGCTTGACGACCCAACATAGGAGGACCTTTCCTCTTCTTCCCCTTTGCTTGACCAATGGCCAGAACGGGAGCACTAGCAGGATTAGGGTTTGAGTTCTTACCCTTCATTCCTACCTCAACAGTCTGTAGTAGGTTGTGCAATTTAGCCAAAGTGGTCTCAGTGTTATTCAAATGATAAGCTAAGATACACTATAACAACTAGGTAAGGAGTTTAAGACCATGTCAATGGCCAACTCTTCATCAAAATGCATATTTAGCCTAACAAGGAGTTCTACATATTGTTGCATTCTCTGTACGTGGCTACATATAGGTTCTCCCTCTTTCATCTTGCATGCCATGAGGGCTTTGACCACTTTGTACTTTTCTTGATGAGCTCGCTTATGAAACTTTTCCACAAGGTCCTTGTTCATCTCATAAGGCCAGTAGTCCTCATAAAATATCTGCAACTCAGGGGTCATAGTGGCGATCATGATGCAAGTAACTTTTGTTGCATCATCGTAATGCTTTTGGTAGGAGGCGTATTCTTCAGGGGTATGTTTGGCCTCATCGACTTCAACAAGTTCTTTCTCGAGGACATAATGTTTGTTCTCGAATCGAAGAGCCATCTTTATATTCCGCATCCAATCATTGTAATTGGTACCATCCAATATGACTTTGGAGCAGATAGAAAGCAAGGAGAAGTTATGATGGCAGGAGAATGAGGGAGCAGAAGCATCAGCAAAGGTAGACATCTACAAAATAAGGTAGTTTTAGTCAGATATGAATAATCCTTAATATAGTAACCCAAAATAAAATATTAATGCTAGGACTCAACTCTATAATTCACAACTTAGAAAAGGGATGTCGTAATCTAATTGTAAATTTTATAAAGGTAGGTAAATGACGATTTACCAATTCCACTGGAAAAGAAATGAAATTAAGTGAAATTCCTAGGTCTTTTAAGATTCATTTAGTCACATTTTTCCTAAAGTAACTATATGTGGGATTTTAAATAAAAGATTCTAGTACTTTTAATAACATTATACTTTTAATGAGGTTTAGTTGTCCTATCAAATCCGTTCTGCTAACGACCCTCGACTAATCAAGGAAGTAGTGGGTGAGAGTGCACACCCATTCAACTACCATTTTATAGGCAGTTTCCTTATACCCTCCTTATAGACTAGCTTCGTGAATGAGACATACTAACGATTTGACTGACTGATTCTTATAAATATATTAATAATTAATAATAATATATAAGGTGTATTTTAAACTTTTCAAAATACTAGGTTTATTTAATTTTAAATTTCGAAAATTAATGATTAGTTAATTTAAATTTAAAATAAACCAAAAATTGATTTAATATTTTTCCATTAATTAACAGTTAATTAAATATACTAAACAAAATATAGTTTTAGATGAATAAAAACAGATCAAAAAACTTTATAACATATGTTTTTATTTAAAGAAAACTAAATAGATTTGAAAAAAATCACCAAAATTTATTATGCAAATGATTCTTTATTATGTGTTTTTATTCGGTTTAACCGGTTCAACCGATTTATTTTGACCGGTTTAACCGGGTTTTTTTAAAAACCAACCAGTTTAATTCGGTATAGAAATCGACATAAAACCGATGATATTCGAACCACTCCCTCCTCCGGTTTCCGGTCCAACCGGTTCGAACTGGTTTTTAAAACATTGTTATATAGTGACCTATTGAATTCTTTAATAAATATAAACAAAAAAGCGTCAAATAAAACATTAAAAAAAATATTTGAACAAAATCTCAAAAAAATTAGAAGAATTTATTCGAACATAAGTGAACAAAATTAAAAAAACATTAAACATTATATTCCAACAAAACGTCAAAAAAGATATAAATATTTAAAAATATAAATAACTTAAATAAAAACAATAACAAATAATAGACAAAATTACTACATAAATGGTGAGCGTGATGCGGTTATTAGCCAAAACCTCAACACTAACCGCAAATGCGATTAATCAATTTTCAAAACTGCTTGATGCTGTAATTTTTACGGTGCGGTTAGGCGTAGGGATGAGAATTTGGCCCGAAAATCCGAATCGAACCGAAACCCAAACGAAACCGAACTGAATTAGGCCCGAATAAGCAATTCAATTCGGGTTCCGGGTATATATATTATGTTTATTCGGTTCGGGTTACCCAAATAAGAGATTATTCAGTTCTAAATATCCGACCGAAATAAACATTCATCGTCCCCTTTCTCTTATCGACAGAAATCAAAATTATGATTCACACTTCTGTCATTGTCGTTTATAATAGGAAAAAAAAATCTGCGCTCGTTCTCGTTGTTTCAAAATCGACTAATTTTCTCAACTATTTCCGAACTCGAAATCACTTCTGTAGATCTTTTCTCTTGTTTGAGACTTTCAAAAATCGATCATTCCTATTGGCTCTAAGGATTCCCGAATTCCTACTTTGTCTAGTCAAGGAAAATTAGGTGTCAACTCAAGAAAATCAAGTAAGAAATTAATTCTCATTACGTTAATCTACTATGTAAATGTTATTTTTTCAATGTGTTATTGTGTTATGTTAGTCTTTGAATGTTTTACGTTGATATATAAAAGTACATTGTTATTCTATTATTCATGTTATAGAATCCTAATACGGTTTATTCGGGTTTTTTTCGGTTATATTAGGTCCTTAATCATCTTATACATGTTATTCGGGTAATAGTCGAACCGAACTAATTAATATCTGAACCGAACCGAAATCGTATTGGTTAATCGGTTCGGTTTTCGGTTCATGCAATTACCCTTATTCGGTTTTCGGGTTATTCGAGTTCGGGTTGGTTCGATCCGGATCCGACCCGAATAACATCCCTAGTTAGGCGGTTATTTTTACGGTGCAGTTTTTTTTTTTTTTTTTTTTTTTTTGTTATTCGGTTTTTAACCGCATGTATTTGGTGCATTTATTTTGTGTGGTTTTTAACTGCAGTTTAGATTTCAAACGGTTTTAGGAGTTCAAACATATTACTTGTAATAATAAAAACCATAAGGTATAAGACAATTAACTTAAATCATAAACAACTAATATCTTAAAAACATCAAATCACTAGTAATTAACAATAAACATCTTAAAAATGTCAAACTTAATCATTTTCCAAAGTTAAACATAACAAAAAAACCAACACTTTTGTCTTTTAGAATTTTATCATTCTTTCATCCATGAAACTTGTCTTATTTTTAATATATAATATACTAATAATTAATAAAAAATTTGTATATAATATATGCGATGCGGTGTGGTTTTTTTTGCAGTATTTAAAAACTAATAACCGCACCGCACCGCAAATTTACGGTTTTTGAAAAACAGAAAACCTCACCATCGGTTTTTATTGCGGTTGCGGTTTATCTATTACGGTTTTTACGGTAAATTTTAGTTGCGATGCGGTTTTTTCTGACCTTATTTAATATGGCATGAACAAATTACATTGTGATAGGAATGACAACGGATAGTCAAAAGGATCATCCTATACGTTTTAAAGCTAAAAAGGAACTATTTAAAACAAAAAGAAAAATCAAATGCTCACCACAAGGATCATTTATAAAATTTTGTCTGGTGGAAATATAACTCTTTTAATTTAAATCTGCAAAAGCAACACGCTTTCAATTTGTTTTTTGTTTTTTTTTTGTTTTCTGTTTTTTGTTTTTTTTTTCCTTGCCAATTATTATAACACTTTAACTTGGAGAGCAAGTAACTAATTACCATTTGAACTTTTTTTTTTCTTTTCAAATTTCTTGCTTACCCGAAATCCAGATATGCAATAATATACCAAATCAACATCCAAACTTTACCAAATCGTAATTTTCTTTTATCATGTTGTTAATCATAGTTACCAATTTTGATGCAAAAGCTTTTCTTGGTTCATAGAGCTTTTCAATTAGTCAACTTGGATAGCTTGTTTCAATGTATTTTTAATGGAATCTCAACCATTGAAGACGTCTAAATCATTGTTTAATCTTGACCTTTTGAACTTTCTGAAAGGCACATGTAAATAATAATAATAACAACACTTATACTCAATTATAACAAAGGGCACACTTAGTTGTGTCCCTATTAAATGGTTGATTAAACAAACCCTTTTCTAATATTTGAAAATTAAATTTTCAAATCAAGTAATCAGTTTGGTAGAACTTTTCATTATTAACTATAGATTTTCTAATATTTCTAATCACAATTCTTTTAAATCAAGTAATAAGGTAGTGTGTTAGGGTTTTAAGGATATAAAGAAAAATAAAAATTATAAGAATATGTATGGTTCACATGATTGAGGTAACCGTATTATGTTTACAAACAAATTAGAGATGTTTTATTAACTTCACAGCGCATTAGAGTTTACAAGATAAACAATATTTATAATTTTAAGAAAAACAAGCCTAAACATATATATTTCACAGTTTGACACACGAAGCTCATATTGTTTTATGGAAAACCCGCTAGAGGAGAGGAATGACACGAAGTAATCCATCATAGTGTCGCCTCTAGAATTCTCTAGGCTAGTTGTATAAAAATCTCTTGTATAATATAATCTTTAGAATAAATTTTAAATCAAATTGTTTCTTAAAAGCTAAAAAGTCACAAAAATCTTTTGTCAAACACGTGTTATATCACCTACCATAAACATTCTATAACTACTTTTACTGAAATACAATAACATATCCAATCCTATTCTAAATAAACAGTTAGATATATTCTAAATCTAAATAAGCAATTAAATCAGAATGAAAATTAAATTATACAACCCAATATATAGAATAATAATCGAGTTTTTAATCCGATGCTGATGCGAAAGTGCGTGCGCGGTGTGTCCACAAAAACAAAAGACGAAAGTAACTAAAAACCATATGCGCCCACAGTCATTATACCAATCACAAAATTCCAAACGCCAGATCCATTTTTTCATACAAAACCCCAGTTCTATCTCAAAGTCACACTAATCTTTTACTCAATCACAGCAAATCCCAAAAATCATTCCTGAAGAAAAATGGCTCATCATTCAGAATCCGTCTTCTCCCAAATCGCTAAAGCTCCTGAAGATCCTATCTTAGGGGTATGCATCACTACTTTCTCCTCTTCCCTTTCCGACTTCTACAGTATACTCCTGATTTCAACTTATATCCATTAAAATTTGAAAACCTATTGATCATCGAGTAAAGTGGAATCCCTATATGATCCTTTTTGGGTGATCAAGTTCATATAATCCCCTGATCAAATATTATATTGAGATTCGGTGTATTTTTAGTGATCGAGTTGAAACTTTTACTGTTTTACACTAATAGGGTTTTGGGGTTTTTCAATCTTTTAAACGTGATGATATTATGCGACGTATAATTATTTTGCGATTGGGTATTTGGGGTTTTACTGTTTTCCATGATCGCTGATGAAAACTTTTGATGATAGTTTTTGTTTTCTTGTATCAAACACACTAATTCTTTTGTTTTGTCTTTGCTATGATGGGACAAAAAACAGGTTACTGTTGCTTTCAACAAAGATTCAGACCCTTCAAAGCTGAATTTGGGTGTAGGTGCTTATAGAACTGAGGTAATGAATTATGAATGTTTTTCTTGATGAATTAGTTATAAATACACACTTATAATTACTTATTCAAGTCAATTTGTTGTTGATAGGAAGGAAAACCTTTGGTTCTGAATGTCGTAAAACAGGCTGAACAAAAGCTTGTTAATAACCCGTTAAGTAACTTATTCTCATCACTTAAGTTTCATCACAATTTCTTGTTCTTCAATATTAAACTTTCATACTTTCTTTTTTAAAATATGTTTTAGGTCTCGGATTAAGGAGTATCTTCCGATTGTTGGACTTGCAGATTTTAATAAAGGTAGCGCCAAACTCATTTTTGGTGCTGATAGGTAATCATTTATGATTCTCTCATCTTTTTTTTTTTTTTTTTTTTTTATGTAATAAATTAGTTGATAATCTATTTGGAAAGAGTTGTATTTTTTCTTATGTGTTTCATTTGTTTTTCTATTACAACATTGTAGTTTGAAAAATCAGATTATAGCAATGTAATCCAAATACAAAACACTTTTCATTGCTAATAATGTTCTAATATGGTTTTTCTTAAGATACAACGCTATAATTGGTAGATTTTTCATAGTACAAATGTACCTTAATAAGAACTTGTTTTTGAAAGTACAATGCTGTAATAGAAAGATAGAAAGTAGGAGGTTATAATAAACAAATAAATGAAAATATCATGTACTTTAAAAGGTATCATTGTTCTTTCTTGATTTGTATATTTTTTGTGATAAAGGATGTGATGCTATCCATGCCTTCACCTATTTGGTGCCACATAGGCGCCACATAGGATTTTGCCACATAGGATTTTGCCATTTTTGCCAGAGGAGGGAGGGTGTGGTGCTATCCATGCCACTTTTTTAAAAAAAAAATTAAAAAAATATAACATTTAATAAAAACCATGAAATATTAGTTAAAATAAAACTTAAGTTTTCAATTTTCATTAACCATAAGATCGAAAATTACATAAATAAAAACTTAAGAATGACCTAAGTTTGTAGATTAAAGAAACCATTATCTAAAACTTCGAATTTTATATTAACCATCATACTTTGAAATTTATTTGGTTTCACCATCAAAATAATTTTTATTTTTTTTATTTTTATGATTTAATCATTATCGTTCAGAATTTAAAAAAAACCCCTAACCAGAAAAATATCCTTCTGTAACTAAAACATTTAAAATTTCTTTCACTAGTTAAATAAAAATAACCAAAAACTAAATTTGATCTATTTGAAATGTTTGATTAGTAGCGAATTTCTATTTAAAACTAATTAGACATGATACATAAAAATATAATTGTGAATGGTGATAATAATAACTGATTATAATAATAATAATATTATCTGTTGTCACAATTTAATAAACCAATTTATTTTTTTGTTGACCAAAATAGCCCTGCCATTCAAGAAAACCGAGTCACCACTGTCCAATGCTTATCTGGCACTGGCTCACTGAGAGTTGGTGGAGAGTTTTTAGCAAGACATTACCATGAAGTAAGAAAAACAACTTCTTCATTTCCTCTATTTTTTTAATTTTCAAAATAATAATTAATCTAATTAATCAAATTATTTTTTTTTATCAGAAAACCATATACATTCCAAATCCAACATGGGGAAACCATCCAAAAATCTTCACATTCGCAGGATTATCAGTGAAGACTTATCGCTACTATGATCCTACTACACGTGGCCTTGACTTCAAAGGTATGAAAAATGAAAATAAACCAATTTTCTGTTTTAATTTTAATATTTTAGTTTTTAATTTTTAATAATCAGTTTCATATCATTAAAATCTCCAAAAAAAAAACAGGCCTTCTAGAAGATCTGGGTAACGCTCCATCAGGAGCAATAGTACTTCTTCATGCATGTGCTCACAACCCGACAGGTGTCGATCCCACCATTCAACAATGGGAGGAGATCAGACAATTAATCAGATCAAAAGCATTATTACCTTTTTTCGACAGTGCATATCAGGTAAAAATAAAAAAGTAAATTTGTGTATTTAAATGTCATGAATCCATTAAATATTTATTTATTTATTTATTATTTTTTTTTTCTAGGGTTTTGCTAGTGGCAGCCTCGATGCAGATGCAAAACCTGTTCGCTTGTTTGTTGCCGATGGCGGTGAATGCTTTACCGCTCAAAGTTTTGCCAAAAATATGGGACTTTATGCCGAACGTGTCGGTGCCCTTAGCATTGTGCGTTTTAAATTTTAAAATTTTTAATTAATTTGTTCACTTTTTATGTGGGACAAAAGATTGAAACTGACAAGTAGTTTTAATCTTTTGTCCCTTGGGACAAAAGATTATAATAAAATCTTTTGTCCCAAAAATTGGGTGCGACAAAAGTAATATTACTTTTGTGAGTCCCAATTAACTTTTGTCTGGACAAAAGTTATTTACAGTACAACCTGTTATGTCATGTTAGGTTTGCAAAACATCAGATGTTGCGAGCAAGGTGGAGAGTCAGCTAAAACTAGTTATCCGGCCAATGTATTCCAGCCCACCTCTTCATGGAGCATCTATTGTCTCGACTATACTCAACGACAGGTACTCTTTTTTGCAATTTGTAACAAATAGCAATGTACTTTCACCTTCAATAATTATTTAATATTTATTTTTTGTAGTGATTTGTACAATGAGTGGACGATTGAGCTCAAAGCAATGGCTGATAGAATTATCAGCATGCGCACACAGTTATTGGAAGCCCTAAAAGCAAAAGGAACACCTGGTGACTGGACTCATATCATAAAGCAAATTGGAATGTTCACGTTCACTGGACTGAATGCAGAACAAGTCGCTTTCATGACTAAAGAATATCATATCTATATGACTTCTGATGGGTAAGCATATGTTATTTTTTACATTTAAATTAATTAAATAAAGACGTACTTTTTTTTTTTTATTTTTTTATTATTGAAAGTAAGTTAATCTTTTCTACAGGAGAATCAGCATGGCTGGTTTGAGTTCAAAGACAATCCCTCATCTTGCAGATGCTATGCACGCTGCTGTTACAACAATGGCATAAACCAATAACTACTTGTTCTTTCTTGTTTTTTATCGTAAGTTTGTTTTCAGTGTCAAAAAAAACCTTCAAACCATTTCTTGATGCTTTAAACCGAATGTGGAACTTGTAGCTACACTACATAAATAAGTTCACAACTAGTACTCAAATTATAGTAGTATATTATGAAGATCATTACGAGTTTATTTACAATGAATAGCTGATTATCTCTTTTACTAAACCCTAGTTTTAAATTTTTAATCTCCATTAATGGCGAGTTGTTGGGCTTCTTAATCCAATACCCCCAAGCTTCTCCATATACGAATTCTTAGTTCTTGCCAAAATTCTAGCTGAATAGCTCTGATACTTTTCGTTCTCGTTTTCTTCCACTTGTTTAGGGCTCGAATCGCCATTCTTTGTGTTTGATTCTTCTTGTTCTTGATCGACACTCCACCCCATGAAATCAGATAACGTCATCGATTCTGTAGGCGTCTGACCTGGACTATGACCTGGCGTTTCATCGTTATCTTCACTAGTAGCTACTCTTACTCGTGCTGACGTGGACATCTTCTTTGCCAGCAAGGACGGATCTTGTGCTACGTTGTCGGCGTAAAGCACGTCTTCGATTCGATTCATCACTGTGCTCGCTAAACTCTCCAAAACTCGCGAATAGCTTTCCAATACTGCGTGTCCGACATCCTACAAAATCGAAATTAGGGTTTGGTTTTAGTTTAGTGATTGATTGACGAACATGAATTGGGGATTCGGGATTGGGGAAAATGTAATCTTTGTCTTTTTCGTACTTTATTGGATTCGATTTTGCAGATTTCAAGTGACGATTGTGGGAGTCCTGGGAATCGTTGTTTTAGGAGGATTAAGATGGTTTCTGCTCGTTCTTCAAACTGTTCTCGTTTCTCCATGCTTATCCCTGAACTCCAAGAAGATTTTGAGTCCTTTTGATTCATCTTTCTCTTCCATATCACTATAGAAGCTTCGATTTTGTTCTTGAGATCAAGTACGTTTAGCTCTGATGACAAATCCATGGTCATTAGAAACTGACTCGGGTCAAAAAAGTCAACCGTGATGCTCTTGTAGATCGAGTCTCCAAGGGTTTCTCTACCATTCTGTTAATAATTAACAGAATTTACCAAATTAGGGCTATATTCAAGAAATCGCAAAGTATATTAATATCACCTTTCTTTCTTTTTTTCTTATCCGGTTATAATATTATAATACCTTGGGGAGAGTATCAATATAGTTTTCGGGAATTTCCATTTCTCCAAGTATTTGTGCATTGATAGCCATGGAAGCTTTAAGAACTTGGTTGACACAATCTTTTTGATATTGCATCCATTTTCTTGATTCTTCTGAAAGACCTTCAGCTGGAACTTTGACTGTGGGTAACCACCATTTGTCATTTCTTTGAACGCCTTTTTCAGATTCATCTGCATCTTTTGATACATACCAAAATTGATTCTGATCCCTGAAATTGTCTAGACAACCCTGGATCATATATTCATATCATCATCTTCATTATTGAAAAAAAAAACCCCATAAAAATCACGTGGGAATTGAATCATTACAATGAGCATCGCATCGAGTTTTTTTAAAGCCGCAATGTTCATCCGCAAATCGCCTCTTTGTTGTGTCATCATAATCTGAAAGACCATCAATCAAACGTTACAAATGAGATTTGGATTTGAAGTAATTGGTTTGTGGATTCCGATGGAATTGGAATCGTGGATTCCATTCCATTGCGTGTTTGATTACCTCCATATTTGATCCGTCTTTCCCCGCTTGTTGAGAAGCAACAAACTCAACAATGTAATCGGTTACAGAAAGAAGCCAACCGACTTCTCGTCTCCATCTTCTTTTTCGATCTTCAGGCATTGGAGCCAATTTATGTTGCTCCCCAAACACCGAAGCTACAAATTTCCAAAAAAAAAAAAATGATTAACAAAAATTACAAAAATTAAACGACTTTTTAAAACAAGGATTCAAGATTACCTGCGAGATTTGTAATTGCATTTGTTAAAGCCAAAGCAGATGAAACCCCCTTTCCACCACCCGACATATCTTCTCCTAAAAGAAGCTTAGCAAATCGTTCCTTCATCTGCTCCAACTCTGCACAAACAAAAACAATTTGTTTTCTCCAACATTTACGGATCGAAACATGAATTTTATCAAAAACTTACCGGCATGTTTCACCTTAACCTTGGAAACCAGGTCGTTGTTGTTGGCATCTTGTTCATCGATTGTTGTTGTCATCTTGACAAATGTGTTCTTGATTGATTCTTATGGGTTGCACGTTTGCAACATGGAAATGAAGGAAGTTGTGATATGAGCAAGTTCTTGAGAAAAGTCAAAAGAGGAAAAGAAATAAATAAATAAAAAGACTCAAATTTCTTATGAGAGGTTAAAAAGGATTTGGTGGATGATTAATGAGAAATTTGGTTTATTGGTTTTTGTGTGGATTATTGTTTGAATCTTAGTGTTGACTTGTGTTTGTCTCCATTGTTGTTGGTGTTTGTGAGATTTTAAACGTGGGGTGCATGTTTTTCTTGAATGATTGACAGAATCTGAAACTAGAGGGGTTGAAATTGAACATGAGAAAACTTTGAGGACGAAATTTATGAATGGATTATAATCTTTTTGAGAAACAACTAGAGACCAATAACTAAATTTGTGAATTTATGGTGAAGAGATGTGTGTTCCTAATCTGTTACCTCAGTATTCTCTCTTGAAATTGTGATAATCGGTTTTTAATTCTTCAATAAGGTAATTGATATTGATGTCACACCTTTTTCTAAAGACGCCATGGGAATATGAGGTCTTGACTTTGAATCGATTTTGTGTCTTATTTGCCAAGAGGAAGTGGAAGTCGGCCATCTTTTCTTTGGATGCTTGTTGGCGAAACAACTATGGTGATGTATAGATATTGGGTGGACCACCATGTTCTTGAGCTTGGTTCGGCTTTGGAAATGGAGTGGGTTGATGGCCGACCCATTGCTCGTACTGATCTGGATTCGATCTTCATGAATTTGATTTGGGTCATTTGGACATATCGGAATGATGCCTCATGCTATGAGTCCAAGATCTCCTCATTCAGTGAGTCCAAGATCTAGAAGAAGTTATCCTTTAATAACATTGTTGCTTTTCTTTTTACTTGTTTTTTTTTTTTTTCTAGAAACGCTAAAGCTGCAAAAATTGGAAAGCATGGACGATGCATCATGTCTTGTTTGCAAATCTGTGTTTGCGTATTCATCAACAAATGTCGACAATGGAATCTGTGATATGCGTTTGAGAACATAACTTTGATGACCATTTCAATAGACCTTATCAGATAGACAAAGGGGATAACCATATTCATAATTTCTCACTTTCTGTTTTTTCCAACGTCAAATGCCTACTAGAAGGATTTGGTTAATATTGTTTCATGGCTATTGATAGGAACTATATTAATTAGATCGAATACACGTATGACAGGTATAAAAAGTATATATAATAAATACCATACAACTGATAACAGAGAAAAAGTATTCAAATTTTTTGTTGTCATTTGTTTTTATGTGTGTAACGATCTTTGGATTTTTCATTTTTAAATTGTAACAATATAAAATAAGTATTTGAAAGCTTTCTTTAGGAGCCATTCTTAACTGAATTAGAGCATACATATTTGCACTTCATGTTTGCTAGTACAAAATATGTACACTAAAACAGTGATTTATAGTTCGTTGGATTTGCTTTCCCCATAGCATATTCCCTAACTATCGGCTAATATGTTCTTCAAGAAGTGACCAAACTCTTTCTTGTTGGTTTGACGATGATGGGGACGGAGTTGTGTGTTTGAGCAAGTATGGTTTTCTGATAGTTTACGGACTTGAAATGGATTAGAATCTTTATCTTTGTAGCCCGTAATCGTCATTTACAATTTTTAGCAAAGCAAATAGCTTCATACCCGTATGTTGTAGATTTGCTCACTCTAATTTGAAATTCATCATCAACGCATTTGAATCACAAATTAAGCTGATCTCTTCTTTACTTTTGAACATTTGTAATAGCTTCACCTATTAAGAATAATCATGGGCTACAAAACTGTTACTTTTTTTTATCTAATATGCAGGTAATGGTAAGAGTTCACGCATCCTCAAATGAGTGGTTTTTGTTTCTTCAGAATCTGAAAAATAATAAGGGTACTTTTTCTTGTCGGGGCTAAGTTTCCTCTTCTTTAGAATAATAAGGGTACTTTTTCTAGCCGGGGCTCGGTTTCCTCTTCTTTAGATTTAGCCTCATTCCAGTAAATTCAGAGAAGGGTTGGAATTGTTCCACCGGGTCTCCATGTGGAATTATATTACATCCTCAATCAAAATCATTAGTTTTGTCGGAACATTAACAGATTCATCAACCTTAATTGTTGAACATTAACAACCATACCATTATATCACTTCCTTCTATAGGCATATTGTAAGAATGAACATGATCTAATTTTATAGGTAATAAATTACAAAATTTGGTTACTTTCAGCACCGGAAGACCCATTATCACTGGAACGATTTTCACATGGAAATCGATTAATGCCACTTTTCATAACATAATTAACAACAAACATTTGTACTTTATTAGGAGGTATACAACTAACAAAAGTAAAAAAAAATATTTGACATCATTATTGTCAAGAATATGCATAATTATGTTTGATCAAAGATATTGAAAATATAAATGTATTTAATTAGTATGTAACATGGATTTCGAAACAACCAATGTAATCAACCAAAAAAGTTATATCACTGCTTAAATCAACACCAAACATATATAGTTTTCAACAATATACTAAATTGATCCGTCGATTTGCTCCCATTACACACCACTAGAAACATGTACTCTAAAAGACTGACTGTACGAACACATTTTTCTTACTGTAAAAAAGCTTTATCTGGTTCACGCAACAAAAATGGTAATAAAATTACCCTAGCATTAACACTCCAGAATAATAGTACTCTGGAATGTTCGTACATCTCATATTA